TGGGCTGGGAAGGATCCATCAGACCAGTCCTTCAATTCGGGGAAAAAGAAGGACGTATTTGTCGGCCGCATCGGAGGAGTCTTCGGTTTTGGACGTCCTTCGTCGCGGGGCTGTGATGTATGCGGCCGACGAATTCGGCCTTCAGAGGACCCGTCCTGCCGTTTTGGACACAGTCTAAGACATTCTCACTCCCAACTCGGCTTGGTCAGGTTTCCTCTATATCTTATTTTGACATGTCTGGTAACCCCTTCGTGTCAGTTATTGACGCACCAGGCATTTCCTGGTTCCCTCGGCGTCCAGTTTTGACACTTCAGGGCACAAAATTTATGGGTCTTGAGTGTCCATGGTTTATATTAGGGATCAGGGTTTGTGGTTAATATTAGGTAGTGGGGTCAGGGATAGGATATCTAGGGCGAATTTTAGGTCATTTTAGGGTTTGGGACACATAATTGACATGAATTTCCTACACTTTCTAAAAATGGTTAATTTTAGGGATCAGGGTTGATTGTTAATTTTAGTTACTAGGGTCAGGGAGTCTAGAGTGAATAAAGGTAATTTTAGGGTTTGGGACGGTTGGGTTTTGTGCATTTTCTACACTTTCTGAAACTATGACAACGGATTCCGCCTCATCTTGTCAATAACTGACACGGGGAAGGTACCCGACGCGTCCAAACCAGACACAGGGGGAACCCGACCAAGCGTCAATATGTGACGACTTGGGAGTGAGAATTGGGTTGGTGACACACTTATAAACAAAATGTGTGACAGCTTTCACTGTCAGCTGTTAATGCTGGTCAATAACATTTAATGACCGCAGTGCTTCTAAATTTAGCAAGTGCTAATCCACTAATTAATTTTAAAATTAGCCAAAGCCCTAAAGCACTTATCAGGTAATTAGTTCCACTATTAGTGCTTTTAGTGCTTTAGGGGAACTGGGCCCACCATTGGACATGGCCAAAACATTATTGCCTGTTTTTCCCTTTGGCGTTGGGCGATTTCACTGTGGAAACAGAAGATTGGACCCCCCGCCCCCCCAGCCACCTCTGGTTTGGTGATCCGGACAGAAAGCGAGCTCGAACATCAACGATCAGCCTGGTGGTGGAACGGACCTTGGTCCAGCAGCACAGATCAGGATCTGGAGTCGAGGGCGTTCGAGTTTTCAGGATGAACCGAGTCCGGAGAGAATCCCAAAGCCAGATGTACAGATTAACAGACACATCTGGACCTTATATTTAAAAGCATCAAACCCCCCCCCCACCCCCATGATGCAAATGACCACAGAAAAATGGGTTTAACTCAGTCAGTTTAACGGATTTTGAGCTTGAACTTGTTGTAGCTAGTCATCCCCAACATACATCCTGAATACTCACATATTCATTATTTGCTAGCAAAATATTTCACGACTCACTGGATGGATTTTAATTAAACTTCTCAAACACATTAACTTTAATAGCCAAACTAATTCAAAATGGCCGCCACAGAAATGTCTTCAAAGTCATCAGTTTTACAGATATTCTATCAGATTGAGCATAACTTTTTAAATTATTTTTTAAGGTGAACTGCGGAAAGAACGGTGTATTTATTCCCCGTWAAATAATCTTAGTCTAAAAGGCGAAATGAATTTTCATTGTAGCAGAAATTCTGTTTAGTTTTCCTGTGAAGTTTTTAAAGTTCAGTTAGAAACACTTGATGTGGAACAGCAGGATCCTGTGAGTATTTATAGATGCGGCTGTTTGGGCCTGACAGCACTCTGCATTATAGATATATACGACCACAGCCTGGCCTTTTCTAATCTGCTGAGCTGTGCTTGTCCAGAGCTGTAAAGGTTTAGTGCAGCTCTGCGACTGATGATGCGAGCGTGTAAGCAGGCATCAGTGCTGACTGACGGACGGACGGAGTGACCGGCTAGCTTTTAATCCTCGCCTTTTACCGTGTCACCACATGAGGGGATTAAAAGGCCGTCTCTCTGTTAGGTGAGCCCAGATGTAAGCCTTTTATGAGTCGGCGATGAGTGTGATTTCTTGCTTGTTGTAGACATCTCCAACCTTTTTAATTTAATTTAATTTAATTTAATTTTTTTAATTTTTGGAAGTACACATCATAGTTTGTTAATTTATTTTATCTGCACACCGGGTTAGAAGTGTAACTCGATTAAAGCACAACTTCAATTCGGAAATAATTGCATAAAATATAAATCCAAACAGAATATAATGATCAGCGAATCTCACAAACTCATATTTTATTCAC